ATAGCTCATGGATGCATTTCAAGATTTGAAGGAACGACGTGTTTTATTGTAATTATGTGATAGTTATATATTTTGTATTTTTTTTAAAATCGTATATTTTATTATTTACTTTAATTTAATTTTTAATTTGTTATTTCATATAAATGTAAAACTATGCATATTTAATGTTATCATTTATATTTTTTGCAATAAACAAATAATAAAGGTAAAATTATATATATAACTTGAAGTTGCTAAAAAAATTCGGTCTCTGTTGAGATCTAGTTCTGGTTCCGTATATAGTTCTGGCCTCTGTTGGGATTCGACTTGATTTGAAAATTATACACCTTCCACTTAATTCGAACTCAACCCGAAAATTGTACACCTTCCTTCCGACCTGAACTCATCCTGCTCTTTGAGATAAAATATAAACTCGATTTGATCTGACCTGAAATAATATATTTATAAAAAATCTTTTTTTATTTAATAAAAACATAGATTTAATTAAAAAAATTAAATATATAGAGGGGTCTTATTGCAATTATCTCTAAATATAAAAGGTAAAACTATAATTTTTTCGGGTTAAATATTTTTCACTCTAAACCTGACCCAACCTAAATATAATATCTAAGAAAGTCGAACCAACCAGAATTAAAAAAAACTGATCATATAAGATAGGGTCGTATCAAAACCTGTCGAGATCTGATCCAATATCCATCCCTAATATGGAGGAAAGGTGTCAAATGGAGAACTTTTAATCAGTCTAGACAAAGTTAACTTTATTAACTTATTTTATTATTACGTATTTGGTTAAACATTTATAGCGATAAATTATTTTATCACTATAAATAAATAAATAAAAACTAGAAATATTATTACTTTTAAAAAATTTAAATTAGAACAGTTATATTTATAAAATAATGAAAAAAATATCAAATGCCCTCGTACTTTTTAAAAAATCAATGTGATCCTCCACTTGTTTTGCACTCAATGTAGCCCTCTAAGTTAGAATAAAATTCAATGTGGTCATTTGACCAATATTTCATGTCTTTGACCAACGGTTATGTTACTTTGTGTTGATGTAGTACATTAAGCATGCCAAAATCTTTTTTTTCTCTTAATTTGGCCCTCAAACTCAAAAAAATAACTCAATTTGGCCCTCATATTTTTTCTCTTCTATTTCGGTCATTAAGCTTTATAAATTTTCAATTTAATCTCTCAACTTTTGAATTGCTCATGTTTTAATCATCATGATTTATTTTATTAATATTTATGTATGATGTGGTATTTTTTTCTTTTCAACCAAAGATTTATTTTTTTCCTTTAATTACCAAATACAGTGAACCCAAATTGAATTTGTAAAAAAAATTGAAAAAACCAAGGATGGGCTACTTGACCGACAATGAAAGGAAAAAAAAAAGAAATCTTTGGTTAAAATGGAAGAAAAATGAAATTAGAGGATAAAGGAGGAGAGTGGAGAGTGGAGATTTGGAAATATATAAATCATAGGGATATTTTTTAATTTAATTATAATTTTGAAAATATTTTTTATTTCAATATAATTTTTAATTTAATTAATATTATTTTAATCATATATTAATAAAATAAGAATAATAAATACCACATCATAAATAAATATTAATAAAATAAATTATTATGATTAAAGCATCTTGAAAGGTCATATATTTGGTGTAAAAAAAAGTTGAGGGTTACAATTTTTTTTAAAGTACAAAGACTTTATTACCCTTTTGTCTAAATTAATTCGCGTAAAATTATTTTAATTTTGTACGATACAAAAGAGCGGTGGGCAAGTAAACCACGTAGAGACTAAAACTGCTGCAAATAAGCACGAAAAAGGTGCGGACTCCAACACTCTGCTTGCCCGCCATTTTGGACTGGCCCTACCTTCGTTACCCATCTCCCATCTCCCATCTCCCATCTCCCATCTTCCAAAGAGGAATTGTTTATTTTATTTATTCAACTTTAAAAACCATTTTTATATTACTATTTTCATATTAATATTTATAAATTTTATATTTATAACACTTTTAGCATGATGAATCCATACCAATCTAAAATAATTTATTTAAAGTCAGACCTCAATAAATAGTCCGATTTTAGAATATATTCTCATCAAATAACTTAAAATTATGCATATATCTTGAAAAGACGTTTGATGATTCATATATTTTTTCAAAGATGATTGTTATTTATTTTTCTAAAATATATTCTCTAGGGTTTTTTTTATTCAAGGTATATCTTATTATCGAAGAAATGAAATCCTCATTCCTCTGTTTGGTTGATCAATATTCTCAGCTCTCGGTAATCTTTTATTACCAACAGTAGATTTTTGGGTTATATTATCGGGAATGTGATTACCCTCTTCCCTTAGGTATTATTGGATTACCGGCGTTTTGGACTAAAATGCCCTTAATTTTTTTTCCCAAAAATATTCTTCTTATGTCGTTGAATAATAAAAATTATACGAAGGTTAAATTATAAATTTATCCTTAAACTATTTTAGATTTACAAAAAAATTTATAATTAAAATTTTATATGAAGTTCAGGGGTTAAAATAAAATTTTACCCTTTCATTAAACCTATTTATCTTTTCAATTTTGTAAAAAAAATTATATAAATTTTATGAATTTAAAATTTTTAAAAAAAATATATAAATTAATTATAGTAATATTATAGTAGAATTCGGCTAGTTAAAAAATAAATATATAATAAAGACAATTTAGTAAAATACATATTCCAATAATCTTTTATTCTTTTAACCAAACATTGTAATCTTACATTCTTGCTAAACCAGCCAAACACAAAATACAACATTCCCAATAATCGTAGTCCCCGGTAATATTTTATTCTCACTGCTAATCTTACATTCCGTTAACCAAACACACCTGGTAATATAAAGATTATCTCATATGAGAAAATATTTTTCTCTTAATATAGGGTAATTTTTTTTCTAAAATATTATTTGGACAATTTTATGATATTAAACATGATGAACTAAGATTTATTCAAAGTTTTATTCTATTCATATGATTTAATTTATTGTTCGTTTAAGAAAAAAACATTTAAATTTAGTTTTGAAAATAAATATTCATACAAAAAAATAATTTTGTAAACACTAAAATATATTATGAGCTAACCTTATTGAACTTTAAATGGGGAAATAAAAGTCTTTTGAATTAAAACATTTAGCATCAAGGGAAAAGCAACCATCCATTGTACTATTTTTCCACGTTTGTCAAATGAATCACTAACAAGGAGCACCTTTACCCTACATGATATTTTTCTTTTCTTTTTTGCATGTGTAGGACCAAATTGAAAGAAATTAAAAATGTATCGACCAAAATGGAATATTAAAAAATTAGGGCAAACAATGTTTTTACCTTTAATTTTGAATTTTCGAATTTGTTATTTCTAACTACGACATTGTTAGAAGCGGTGTGAGGTATTAGCGACTTCGGTTTGATTGTAATTTTTGTTTGAATCATAGTGATCAAATTGAGAGAAAATTAAATTACAGGGATCAAATTTTTTTTAAAAATAAATCCAAAACTAAATGGCAAAATAGATTTTTTTTTCTTGATGAAAACGACGATAAGACAAAAACAACAACAACAAAACACTATTCCCATATGCAATGGGATAAGGGGGAGGTAGAGTAGTAGGCTGCTCCCAACGCCAGGCTGAGAGCAGCTTCCGTGGAAGTCCTCCGACAGTTAGAAAATTAAAAATAAAGATAAAATGCAATGCATATATAAATAAATATATAAATACATAGTCGAACAATCTTCATATGCGCGTCTGAACACGACGATAAAGATGTTTTTAACAAATTATTTAAGTTAAAAATATAATTTTAATATAACATTCCGACATTAAATTATGATTTTTTTTTTCAAAAAAAATTCGTTTTATCTTAGGTGCTTTTAAATTCTTTTTAATTTTAATCTTGAAAATATGATAAATAACATGGGCACAACATATCAAATGCGTTTCCATTTTTCTTTTTAATGTTATTTCAGTACATAAACTTTTTAATATTATTTTAATACATAAACTAAACTACCTTAACGATTAAAAAAATTATTGTTATTTTTAAAGATCCTAAATTCAAACACTAAAAATTGTAGGATGTTTGAGATTTATTGTTAAATGATTAAAAATATTTAGAACAAATAATACCAGTTATAAATATCATATATTAATAAAAAAAATACTATTTCAACACTTAATTATAAATGAATATTAATTTAAAAAAAATAAGATTTTCAATAATAATATCTAAATAAAAGCATCATAAATTTAAGGATAAAATACGCAAATGGTCCCCCAACTACTAATCATTGTTTTATCGAATCTTTCAACTATTAAAAGTTACAAAATGACGATTTAACTATAATTCATTACTTTTTTGATTCCCTAACCTATTAAAGGTTACAAATAGTCACCGGAGAGAATATGTATAAATACTTAAATTCATAATATTTTATATATTTTAACTTAAAAAATAATTTTTATATTAACTTATTAAATATATTTTTTTATTAAATTTATTTAAAAATATTTTATTTTTATTTAAAAATATATATTTAATGTTAAAATTTATTTAAAAGTATGACTAAACTGAGAGAATATGTAAATAACATGAACCAAATATGTGATTATACCAACTATTACATCATATATTCTGTTAATTGTTAACACTAGTTAACCTGTGACGACCACATTTTAATTAAATAAAAATAAAAACGACTATATTTTAATTAGATAAAAATAAAAATGATAATATCTTATGTTTTTTTGAATTAATGACCAAAAATAGATAAAACATAAATATGATTGATCATCCGTATAATTAACTCTCTTTTGTTTTTTCACCGACATTCGATTAAAATTCGAAACAGTAAATTTATGCTGAAAAGTGATAATTACGTACCACCAACGTACACCGTATTCCAAATAGTCTTTTTATATTCGGCTTATCTACCACCACTCACCATACTGCCATCCATTCATACCCCTTCGCTACCTCTCTTCTTCATCTTCCAAAAATTTCAACTTCTTTTTCAGGTAACTCCTCACATTATCCTCATTTACTTCATGTTATTATCCTTAATATCCCAGTTTAAACCAGTTTCATTTAGGACCATAAAAAAGGTCTGAAAACGACGGCATTGATTCATCTTCAACCTAGCTTTCTTCTGGTTTTGTTTTCCTTGCAGAACCATGAAAGTGGCGGTGATCGGAGGAGGGATTAGCGGGCTGGTCGCCGCCTATGTTCTTGCCAAAGAAGGTGTAAACGTGGTGCTTTACGAGAAAGAAGACTACTTGGGAGGCCATTCGAGGACCGTGAGCTTTGATGGCGTTGATTTGGACCTTGGTTTCATGGTCTTCAATCGTGTAAGTTTTTTTTCCTTATCACCGACGCTTTTGAGGTTTTCGTCACTGGAAATATTCAGACGCTTTTTAGAAACTGTCGCTGAAAACTTTGTTTTCCTTCTTTTGTTCTGTGATTTTCTATAAATGGAAACAAGACGAGTAAGCTGATTTTCAATATCAGATCTTATTTTATACAGTAATACATTTTTAGAATCAATTGAGAGTATCTTAAGAAATTTAAAATATAAAATAATTTAAATAATTTTTTTTGTATTTTTATTGATTTTAAAATTTTATATTTTCACGTTCATACATCCTTAATTTATTTTCTAATATTTATAATCTAATATATAATTTTACGTACTTCAAATAAGACGTACTTTTATCTTTTATGACACTTCATTTAACCTACTTAATATTATTTCCACACTTTTACTTTATTAAAAATAGGTTAAACTACGGTATTTAGGATTTAAACTATTTGTTTTTTTCTGTTTTAGTATATAAATTTTTATTTTTAAAAATATATATAATATTTATTTTTTATTTTATTTTAATACATAACATTAAAAACGTGTAATTTATCAAAAAAAAAAAAAACTACATGAGCTAGGGGGAAAGACCTATAGTTTATTAGGGTCAATTGATTCTAGTTTGGTAAATGATCCGAACTTCCCGACTCGATCTAATAGAGTGGTTGTTTTAAAAAATTTATAGTTTTTGTTGGGTTTTTAAATGTGATGTTTGGGTCGGATCAAATTTAAATTTAAGGTTAAAAATATCTTACCTGATCTGAAAAAATAATATAATTTAACCTAAAATAATTACAATAATATCCTCTATATATTATTATTTTTAATTAAATCACTATTTTTATTGAATAAAAATGATATTTTTTATTATTTCGGATCAGATTGAATTCAAATTTTATCTCAAAAAATCGAATCAAGTTCGAGTCGGGTGGAGGGTATATATTTTTCAGTTCGAATCAAATGAAATATGTAAAATTTTCGGGTCGAATCGAATTGATCGAAATCCGACTCTTGCCCATCCCTAGATGATAGTTCCCTTAATTAAATTTTCTTCAACTCACTTGATACTAAATTTAGATCCATTATTGTATAGATCTAGGGATGGCAACTCAACCCGAATCCGACGGGTTCCGACCCGACCCGACCTGATCGGGTCGGGTCTGGTTTTTTTAAAATGCACTATTCGGGTCGGGTTTAGGGTAAAAAAAATCCGACCCGACCCGACCCGAAAAATATATATAATTTTATATTATATATTTAGGGATAATTACAATAATATCCCTCCATATATAATTTTTTTCAATTAAGTCACTGTTTTCATTGAATTAAATTTTTTTTTTTCAGGTCGGGTCGGGTCGGGTCGGGTTTCTAAGTCATATATTCGGGTCGGGTCAGGTCGGGTGAAACATTAATTTTGTCGGGTCGGGTCGGGTCACGGGTGGAGAACCCTTTCTTCTCGGGTCGGGTCGGGTGGCCCAAAAACCCGACCCGACCCGACTCATTGCCATCCCTATATGGATCCATATATATATATATATATATGATTAGAAAGGTTGAAAATTTAAAATTATCGTATTTTTTTATTTTCATAATTTTATAAGTTTATTCCTTTTAAATTTTTAAGAATATATTCTCTAACATAAAATTCAGTGTTGGTTTAGACCCGCACACCCAAATTAATTTTGTTTTATTCCTTTATCATCTAATTTTTTATCTCAAAAAATGTAATTTTTTATCTCAAATAGTATAACTTTAAACAGCGACACTTGAAGAGAAATATCTTGGTTTAATGTTTTAGTATTGGTTCTTCTTGTACGACTGAGATTCAGACACGTGGAAACTCTTGGGTTCATTTATTTCCAACGCCGTTTTCTATTTTTTTATTCGTTTGTTGAATGGCTACATGGTAATGCAATATCCACGTTGCATGTCAATAGTTTTGGTATGATGATATATAAATTTTTAATTTTTTTAAAAATCACACTCAAAATTTAATTTTTATTTCATTTTAGTACTTTTATATTAAAACTTAACGTGTTTAGTATTCAAATCTTTAATCTTTTCAAAGCTTAACGTTAAATTTTGAAACATTACTAAAATGAAACAAAAATTAAAGTTTTTAACGTCAGATACTAAAATGAAACAAAAATGAAACTTTATATATGATTTTGAAAAAATTAAAAATTTAATTATTAAATTGGATTAAAACTAATAATTTAGATACTAACGCAATTTATCCTAAGCTTTTCTAAGACAAAATTAAAAAAAAATGCTTTTGCTTATTGCTTTTATTATATTAAAATAATTTATTCATGGATAGACAACTGAATTTTCCATCTAATAATATTTTATTCTAAACTGACATTGATATATAATATTGAGCCAAAAAAATAATTAAAATTAATAGTAGAAATGGTGGGTGCCGGGGTCTTAGCTCTCAATTGTTTTTAGTTTAATTTATTTTAGGTTCTTTTAATTTAAAATTTATAAAATTAAGTCTTAATATATTCTTTTTTTTTATTTTTTATTAATTTAAAATTTAAAATTTAAAAAGTAAATTTATATATTTTTTTATTAATTTTAAAATTAATATACTTAGACTTTAATCACTAAATATTTAAATTTTAAACTAATGATTTAACAATTATATTGTATATTTTATTCGTTTGCTATTTATAGTTCATCTCTCCCAAACTTTGATCACAATTCATGATTCCGTCTCTGATTGTGTTGGACCAATTAGACTATGGTTTGGTTATGGGGGTTGGGCATTTGTCTCTTGTATTATTTTTTTGGTAAAGTATATTAATGGTCTCCGACTATAGGATATTGTTTTATTAATTTTCTTAAATATTAAAAGTTACAAAATAATCAGCTGATTATTTATTATGTTCCAAGCTCTTTTTTTCTGTTAAACAATTGCAGTTGTTTAAGCTGAACGTTACATGATGACTGAGAAATGATAGAGAATTAGAGATTCATGGATAATATTTTATCATATCACATAGTTAGTAGGTTAACATTCAACGCAAAACATTGTTAATTTTTTTAACAGAAAATGATGAGTTTGAAACATAATGGATAGTAAGGTGACCATTTATAGCTTTTAATAGTCGAGTGACTCAACAAAACAACATTCTATGGTCAAAAGATCATTTCGTAACTTTTACTAGTCGAAAGACTTAATAAAACAATATCCTATAGTCAAAGGATCATTTTGTAACTTTTACTAGTCGATAGACTTAATAAAACAATATCATATAGTCAGAGGACCATTTGTGCACTTAACCCTTTTTTTATTTGGTAGTTTATTAACTAATGTATATATTGTTTATTGTCTCAAATTATTTTTAATGTATATTATTATATGGTTTAGGTTGGAAACATATGTTTTTATTTTCTCAAAAATATAACATGTGATAATAAAATGAGATGAAAATAATTTAGATACCAAACTGAAAATAGGTAATAGTTCAAGAGTCAAAATGAGAATTAAACTTTATTTTTATACAATGATGCACTTCGTACAAGTTGAATATTAGTATCATGTCAAAGAAGAGACATTAAAGCATATAATGTTTAATGAATTAGCAGTTGTGATGTCTCTGCAATGTATGTATAGGTTACATATCCGAACATGATGGAGTTCTTTGAGAGTCTAGGAATTGAAATGGAGCCATCCGATATGTCGTTCTCGGTGAGCCTCGATGAAGGCAAAGGCTGCGAATGGGGCAGCCGGAACGGTTTCTCGAGCTTGTTTGCTCAGAAATCCAACCTCTTCAATCCATACTTTTGGCAAATGGTTAGGGAAATCATCAAGTTCAAGAGTGATGTTATCAGGTGAGCAATGATCAAAAGTCTTCATGTGACTCGGAGTCGGAGTGTAAGTGTCGGATACGGATATCGCTCGCGTACTCTTGTTCGAATATATCTCGGGTCTAAGTATTGATGTTTTGGTCATTGTGGGATCTATATGTGTTACATTTATTGATCTTGTTTTGTTTTTGATTGTGCAGCTATCTTGAATTGCTTGAAAACAACCCAGATATTGACCGCAACGAAACATTGGGACAGTTCCTAGCATCAAAGGGTTACTCTGAAGTTTTTCAGAAGGCTTATTTGGTGAGATCAGAGACTGTCCACATTTTTTAATATGCATTTGTTCATGTAGAACTCTACTTGTTCGACGAAATGTCTCGTCGGTACCGAATAGCATTGACAAAGTTATATTTTTTTTAGGTTCCTGTATGCGGTTCGATATGGTCCTGCCCTACAGAGAGAGTTATGGATTTCTCAGCTTTCTCGATCCTTTCGTTTTGCCGCAACCATCATCTTCTTCAGGTACACTCTCTTACAAATTAATCTATCATGGTCTATGTGACTCGGACTCGAGCGAGTTTTAGACATGAATGTGTATGGTAATGCCCCAATACTCTTGTCTGAACATGTATGGGACATAGGTGTGGACATGGATACTTATGAGTTTTCTGTGTTAGTTTTGGTTTGATAATATTACTTTTTTTTTTATCTTTATAGCTCTTCGGACGGCCACAGTGGATGACTGTTCGTTGGCGTTCGCATCGTTATGTCAGTAAGGTACTAGTGTGCTTCTCCATTTCATCTGCTTAGATTGCAGCGTTTCTATATCAAATCCATTGTTACATTCATTTAGATGCAACCTCTAAAACATGTTATTTTCCGGTTTGGTTATCGACAAAATGTCATCAGGTTAGAGAAGAGCTGGAGAGCAGAGGCTGCCAAATAAGAACTGGTTGTGAGGTGCAATCTGTTTTGAGTGACGAAGAAGGTTAGTATCTAAGTTCGATGCTTCACTCGAGCATTTTCTCGGACATGATCATAATTTTTATACGACATAGCTGGATTCAAAAGCTCTCAACTTGTTTCCTTAGAAACCTCTACTCTGGCAGATATGACAGTTGTAGTCTCATGTCCGAAACTTTTTGTGGTTCCACTGGTTATGCTAAAGTTTTATTACAGGTTGCACTGTAGTCTGTGAAGACGAGTCTCGAGAATCATATCAAGGTTGCATAATGGCTGTTCATGCACCGGATGCTTTGAGATTGTTAGGGGATCAAGCAACATATGACGAATCGACAGTGCTTGGTGCTTTTCAATATGTCTACAGGTACCTGTCTTCTGCAATTCATGTTCAGATGGATTAATAATCAATCTATCTACTACTAGTTGTGAAAAATCTAATGCTTTTATACTTCAATAATTGAATACATTATATAACTGAACTTGATATTTTTATGCGATTTTTGTCCGAGATATTTCCGTTTACAGAAATCTGTTCTCAAATACCATGAAGAGATCTTTACTTCCATTAAAGGATTCCACCCTTAACCCTTTTCCCCCCTAAGAAAAGGATTTATGTCAGCTTTTCTAATTTCAGTTTTTTAGACATGAACTTCTCGATGAAGACATTCACGAAAATGATCGATAAATAAAGTATTCTGATCATTATTTATCGATCATGCATCTTACATGGCTCTGAGAAGTGATCTTTACTCAATTCAATAATTCATAATCATATGTGAGCCTCTCTCTATTTGCAGTGATATTTATCTTCATCGTGACAAAAATTTAATGCCGAAAAATCCAGCAGCATGGAGCGCTTGGAATTTTCTCGGAAGTACCGACAAGAACGTATGTTTGACATACTGGCTTAATGTGCTTCAGGTACCCTCTATGTTCTCTTTACTTAAATGTTACACTCCAAGACTCCAAGCCCCAAGGCCTGCAACTACTGATTTGAAGAAGGAAATATGTTATGTTGATTAGTACTTTTGAGACTAAATTTTAGGTAAGGCAACCCAAATCAGTTCACATTTTTATGGATCTGCAGAATCTAGGGGAAACAGGCCTACCCTTTTTGGTAACTCTTAATCCGAATTATACGCCGCAACACACCTTGCTTAAGTGGACGACTGGTCATCCGGTACCATCAGTGGCTGCAACAAAAGCTTCGCTTGAGCTTGATCGGATTCAAGGGAAGAGAGGAATTTGGTTCTGTGGAGCATACCAGGGTGAGAAGAATCTGTTATAAAATATATATTTTTTTAGTTAATCATACTTACTTCCAAGTAATTAATCATAATGACTTAACTATTTTATTTTTCAGGCTATGGCTTTCATGAAGATGGATTAAAGGTAGTGATTACTTTTGATCATAATTTATCTTATATTTGCTCTTCGTTTTCGAGATGAATTTCAATTGTTTCTCATCTTACCATGCTATGAAACTAGTACATCTTGATATCCCATATGATTAGAATCTTTTCCTGATGGTTTTTATTTTTTTCTTTCAAAAGAATGCTTGTATAACAATGCAGTTCACAAGTGAGGTTCACTTATTTCCAGGCTGGGATGACTGCTGCAAATAATTTGCTGGGAGAAAGTTGTAATATTCTGAGCAATCCAAAGCATATGGTGCCCTCTCTGATGGAAACTGGAGCACGTCTTTTCGTTACTCGATTCCTCAGTCATTTTATCTCCACCGGCTCCGTGACGTGAGTTCCTACTGTATCCTATGCTTTCTTGCACTTCTGCAATGCACTTTATGCAGTTCAATCAACCATGAACATCATCTATATATATATATTATAATTTGAATAATTAACATCTTTGACTTCTTCCATGAACAGTTTATTGGAGGAAGGGGGCACTATGTTTACCTTTGAAGGAACTAGCAAAAAGTGTTCTCTGAAAACTGTCATTAAAGTTCACAGTCCACATTTTTATTGGAAGGTAAATACATTTGAAGTCAATTATTCAATGAAAATAACATATGATTGTCTTGTGTGACCTTCTTCTACCATCCATGTTCGATGCATATTCATACATGAGTACAATGGTATATTCCTCTAAATATATGAAGAATATAGAATTTTTTTTGAAGATGCCTGTTTCAGAAGTATTGTATATGACCCTCACACTTGAAACCGAATAATATATATTAACGCAGATTATCATTTCAAACGATGCGTAATGTATCTATCGAACGGAATTTACGGACATGATGTTCTTCACACATGATTTTTCAGGTTATGACAGAGGCAGATTTAGGCCTTGCAGACTCATATATCAATGGGGATTTTTCTTTTGTTGATAAAAAAGATGGCCTTTTAAACCTTGTAATGGTAAGAAAACTGGCAACATCATAGCAATGAATTATAACTGCTGGCATTTACTTTCATAAGATTTTCCTTGTTAACTGCAGATTCTTATCAGCAACAGAGATTCGATTGCTTCCAATTCGAAACTGAATAAGAAAAGGTATACCCTTAACAGTAAACCACATGAATATAGTATCTGCATACTCTTCATTTAAATCCCAGATAATATATTATATCTAACTCCTCATGTTCAGGGGCTGGTGGACACCATTGTTACTTACAGCCAGTTTGACATCTGCAAAGTATTTCTTCAAGCATGTCTCAAGGCAAAATACTCTTACACAAGCTCGTAGGAACATTTCTCGCCATTACGATCTGGTATTAGGCTATGACCTATAAAACCTTGAGATTTTAAGACAAACCAAATGCTTATAATTGTTCTCTGGTTTTTTGTATTCTCAGAGTAATGATCTATTTGAACTATTCTTGGATGAAACTATGACATACTCCTGTGCTGTATTTAAGGTAAGACACACTCACAATAAGTATTAAACAATACTTGACTTCTGTTTTTAATTATTTATTAAATAAAATTGTTGGTTTTTTTATTTTTTAAAAGACAGAAGATGAGGATTTGAAAGATGCACAACAGAGAAAAATATCACTTATTATAGAAAAAGTGAGTCCCTACAGTACTAGTACTTTGTACACATGCCGTAGTCCTTTTATCAAAATTTTCCTTCCCAATTTCCAGGCAAGAATTGATAGCAAGCATGAAATTCTTGAGATTGGATGTGGTTGGGGAAGCTTAGCTATCGAAGTCGTCAAACGAACCGGATGCAAATATACCGGCATTACTTTATCCGAGGAGCAACTCAAATATGCAGAAATGAGAGTGAAGGAAGCTGGACTTCAGGTACCCATCAGATAATCTGGAAATTGTTGACCAAAATATAAGCTTGAAAGTTAGCTTCCATGGATTCAAATTCAGAATTTCTTCACTTCACTGTCAGGAAAATATAAGATTTCAACTCTGCGATTATCGACAACTACCTAGCACCTACAAGTATGACAGAATAATCTCTTGGTAAGTTCTTTAAACACCAAAATTTACCCCATTACCTACCAAAGCAAATGTTTCAATTCTATGCGGCCATCTCCAGTGAAATGATAGAAGCTGTTGGCCATGAATACATGGAGCAATTCTTTGGTTGCTGTGAATCAGTATTAGCAGAAGATGGACTTCTTGTTTTACAGGTAACTAAAGACTTGAATATAGAGATATGAATGCTGCATAACATTACCGGGTCCAAGTAACATAGATTACTACTACATTTGTTTTGACTATGCTTCGGCTGGTTCATGTTACTACAGTTCATATCAATACCGGAAGAACGATACGATGAGTACAGACGAAGTTCGGACTTTATCAAGGAATACATCTTCCCTGGTGGGTGCCTACCATCTTTGACTAGGATAACGACAGCCATGGATGCTGCATCCGGACTCTGGTATGTATACAAGAATACATTTTTCTCTTTTAATTTCTATTATAACTATTTGATTATGGATAAAACTGTGTAATTGTAGTGTGGAGCATGTGGAGAACATAGGGCTTCATTACTACCAAACCCTTAGATGCTGGAGACAGAACTTCTTGGAGAAGCAGAGGTATGCCATTGCCATATGAAGAATCTTCCAAATACATAAAAACAAAGAAAAAAATATCTTCTGCTAGTTTATCGGACACATACTTATCCGAAACTCGCACACGAATTCAATTTAGATAAGTAAGACAAACTAGTACATATTTGAAACTTTTTTTACGGAAGTTTGCATTTTACTGTTGTTCATAGCAAAATCCTTAGCTTGGGATTCGACGAGAAGTTCATTAGGACATGGGAATACTATTTTGATTATTGTGCTGCTGGATTCAAGACTAATACTCTTGGGAATTACCAGGTGAGTTTCAAGTAACTGCACATCTATATGGATTTCATTTCTCCTACAAATATCATTAGAAATGGAAGTAATTAGAGCTAATATTTGCATTTGTAGATTGTGTTTTCTCGGCCTGGAAATGTAGCTGCACTTGGCAATCCATACAAAGGATTCCCCTCAGCATCTTAATTTTTGTCCTATTATTGAATAAATTAAAATTCAGGGTACGCATGTATCATGTATTTCTTGACAAATGTAATCCTTGTAAACCGAAGTTAATCTTGGCATTCTACATGTTACATATTTTGTTGATCTTCCATAACCATTTTACAAGCACTCCAACAAGATGATTTGAGAGCATTTAGAATGGCTTCTTCTTATGTTTGGATGTCATGACAATTCCATGCACCCGGTTATCCATCCCAAGGTTTCATTCACCATATATAATAAGCCAAGCAAGGCAGCCAAATCCTAATAGATGCTATGCAACCATTGCCGATCAATGACCTTCGACCGACCTTTTCAACCCTCTTTGCAATAACAGCAAATTTATCAACTACCTAAACAAACCTGATTAGCTTATAGCTCATCAAATGAATACCTCTATTGATAAGATGGAAAAAAAGGCTGAGTTTCTATCTAAAATCCTTGATACTAAATGCTTTCATCATTAAAATCCTTAAAACAATGTCTTAACTCCTTCCACCAACCAAAACTCTGTTCAACTTCCTATAATAATGAATAAATTACTAATAATGTGAGGTTCCCAGCAGAATTTAGTAGATTTAACCTACTGCCAGTAAATTGGAAGACAGGCCCCCGGCATTAAATGTTGGAAAGAACTCAATTAATTCATTCCAAAACTAATGCGAAGGACATACTCCCTCCCAATGCTATAAGGTCTATTCCAAGCACACTCAATGATTAGCGAGTACTGCAATCTTGATCCGCCAGGTCCCCAAGCAGTTTGCTTCACTAATCCAATTCGATCTGAATAAACCCCCCACAGAACCTGGATGAAGATAGGGGAAGCTTTTGTATTTGCAGTGTTGGGGCAGCTCCGGGGAGGGGAAGGGCCTCTCTCATCTCATGTTAATTCAAAATTTCAACCGAGCAAGTCCTCTGCCAAACAAATCCCACACTGAACAACCCCCACCACAAAGGTCGGGTTGAGCCATGAGTGGACACTTGACTCCACCTTTGAACTCTCGAGCATCTCTCCACCTGTACAACACAAGGGCAAATACAGGGGGAAAATGATTATACCATCCTCAAGTGTCAACTACCACTACATTTAACGCTACCACTACGAGTGATCAACCCAAGTGGCCCATAGCTCCACTTCTATCATTAAAAATCCTTGGTAAATCTCCATATCCTACTAATCATATCAAATCAAGCATGATTACCCGTCATCCAGCTTCCCTAGATGACATATATAAATAAAAATAAAATACTCAAAATAGCAAGATAACGCAAATTTCAGTTATATAAACTAACATAACTTGAACACTACCATAGATATGAAACGTACTGGAGCAGCCAGAAAAAAAGAAAATATAAAGCAAGCCAAATTAAAACAACACTCAGTAGCACAACTGAAGGAAGGCATCTATTATGCCTAAAAACTACTTATTATGACTAGCAAAATAGATACTGCAAACTACAGGGTTTCAAGCAATCCAACCAGTCCCAAGGAAACTTGGCATCCAGCTTGAGCCTCCCCTGTCACTTCTGGGAGTAAGAAACCATCACAATTACAACAGCAAACTGCAAAGGGAAGGTTATGCACAGAAGAGGTCAAGATCAAGTTGTTTTTTCCAGTCATATAATCACTGTTGTGGAGCTTGTAGGCCCTGTGCACCACCGTACCCACCACCATAACCGCCTTGTCCTCCATGAGTACCATTTGCATTAGCACCCCCATAATTTCCAGAACCTTGGGATGAATCAGACCTCCATGACGCATTACCATACCCTGAACTTCCATTTACATCACCGTATCCACTTCCCATGTAACCACCACCACTCCCTTGCAGATCTCCCCCACCCGAACCGGCATTATTATTTGGTATACCACCAGAACGACCTCCAGCAGCCCCATATCCAGCATTCCCATACGATTCATCACTTCCTCCATATCCACCATATCCATAACCTTGATTCCCGTACCTAGCTGCTCCAGTGGAAGATTGGGCAGTAACTGCAGAACCTGGGCCACCAGTACCAGCACCCCAAGGAGCAGCATTTTCATAACCCATAGCACCATAACCAGTTGGATTTTGAGCGCCCCATGAACTCCTAGGGGCACCAGGAGGCCCACTTGCATAACCAGCATTGGGATTCCCATAAGCTGCACCTGCAGGAGCACCATAACCAGCACCTGCAGCACCATAATTGCCATAACTACCATAGCCAACACCACTATTAGCAGGACCGTAACCGTAACAAGGTGCATATCCTGACGAGCCATAAGGTGGAAAGCCAGCTCCAGTACCCTGGGCGCGCATGTAGCTGTTGGAGTCCATTCGACCATCATAAGAATTTGAATTCCCACCAGAAGAACCATAACTCTGGTAACCTCCAAAACCACCAGAACTGCCACTCGAAGTTCGACTAACCCCACCAGGATTGGCATCTTTAGGAAGAGCCCGCTTCACTTCAACTGATTTGCCATCCAAATCATGAAAATTTTTGTGCAAAACCCTATCAACTGCATCTTCAGTGTCAAAGGAGATAAAACCAAATCCTCGAGGCCGTTGAGTATTCTGGTCATACATGATTACTACATCGGTCACATGACCATAAGCCTCAAAGTATTCACGAAACCCGTCTTCAGTTAAGGTCGGAGGCAACCCTCCAACGAAAATCTTCTTGGTCCTGACATTCCCATCACCTCCAGAATTTCTACCCTGATTAAAATTACCAGATCTAGCAGATGTTTGCTGCTCCTCTCTAGATAAAGCCCTCTTTGCCTCAACCTGGGAAACAGTTATCTTATAATTGGGAACTATATTTGCACCAGGCAAGGCCAATAGCAATACAGATAAATACACAAACTTGGATGAACTAAAAGAAAATAAAAAGCCCTAAGCTAACCAAACAATGCCTCAACACTAAAATTGGCGCCTAAAGAAAATAGAAGTAAAAAAGTTCATAAGTAACAATAAATAATGCACAATTGAGAAAAAAATCATGAAGCTATATAACCCATACACAATCACCAAACAGTAAATGAATAGAAAATATCATTAACCCCAAATTTATTTTCCTCCTCGAAGACAACTATAACCCTAAACAATCATTAACACCCAAAACACATATAAAAGAAGAAGAAAAAAACAAGAAAGAATCTCACCGTTCTACCATCGATGGTGTGCTTCTCTTGAAGAACAGCATCGAGGACGGACGGATCTGAGAAGACAACGAATCCAAAACCTCGAGGTCTACCAGTAAGCTTATCTCTCATAACAACAGTCTGCAAGATGTCGCCGTATTGACCAAAGTATTCCTTTAGCCTATCTTCGTTTGTTTCCCATGATATACCGCCGATAAACAACTTCCCCTGATCTGAATCCATTCTCCGTCCTTTTCTCTTCTCTTTTAGTCTCTCGAAATCTAACGGATTTTTTTCTCGAATTTCAATCTTATTTTAGGTTAGGGTTTTTGGGTATTTTAGGGATTTGGAGAAAAACGAAAGGGGCGATTTTGAGATAGGAAGTTGCTGGGTGGGAAGTCAAGAATAAAGAAGGAAGGGAGACTGTGAGGGATCGGGTTGTATGCCGTTTGGACGGTGAAGATTGTGATTCTTTTTGGGATTTAACGGCTGTGATTTGATCGTGAGACAGGACCGGTTTCATCTGGGCTAGGTTTTAGTTTTATTTAGGGTTCGGTGTGGTTATTAGGGCCGGTCTGGGTTAATTAATTGGTTCGATCAGTTAAAGTAAAAAAAATTAAATTAGTTGAATTTATAGAATAAATTTTAAAATTTAAAATTATTAAGAAAATAAAAGAACTTAAAAACTGACTGTTTAATTAATTATGAAATTATTAAGAAAATAAAAGAATTTATATGACAATTTTAAAACAACAATATGTATTCACAATACATTGATCGTGAATTGAGTAATACTCGATTTGTGTTAAATTAAAAATTATTTGATTTGACACATTAAAAGTTTAACTCAAATTGTTTTTTTGAATAAATTAAATATTTAATATCTAAACTATAGTTTTAGTTCTTTCAGTACTTAAACTTTCAAAAATTTTAAATTCATACATAATGTTTAGATTTTATTTCATTTTAATACTTCGACGTTAAAAACTTAACCGCACTATAATTTTTTATGGGTAAATTATATATTTTATCAATCAACTATTTTCTCAATCTTATTTTTGTATTAAAGTTAAAAAAATTAATTTAACTACTCAACTTTCAAATTACTCCTATTTATCTTATTAATAATTTTGTGTCATGATATTATTTTATTAATATATAATTTAAAATAAAAAAAATTGAAAGCTTAAATTAGGAGTAATTTTAAAGTTAAGTAATTAAATTAAAAAAATTAAACTTTTGTGACCAAAATAAGATTGAGAAGATAGAGTAGTGATAAATGATGCAATTTACCCATAAAAAAGGTGTCGCGTGCAAATCACCCGTTAAGTTTTTAACGGGGAGATACTAAAACGAAACAAAAACTAAACGGTAGATATAATTTTGAAAAAACTAAAAGTTTATGTATTAAAATAGACCAAAATTAATAGTTTATATACTAAATGCGTAATTTACACTAAAATTTTACTTTGTTTGTGTTAGATAACAAAACTTGTTGCTTGATTCGACTTGTTGTTCGATAAATTCACTTGAATTTTTACATTGTTTTTCTAGTTATATGTAAAATCTAGTTAATTAATAAATTAGCAATAATTATTAAGTAGTACGCTTAAATGTAAAATAAATGTCCAAACTAGCACTTTCACGAATAGGTGCCTAAAGTATTTTTTGATTCGTCTCAGTGCCTAAAGTTACAAACGTTACCACTTTAGGTGTTCAGGCCGTCAATGGTATTAATTTCTACGGTTAAGTGACATGTATCACGATATGATAATTATAAAAAATAATTATGATATTAAAAACATGATCGATTGACGGTGAATCAAGGTTTTATACCCGTAAACCATAGGATGAAAATCATGATCCCACGATATTCCGACGACCAATCGTCAACAACTACGACGACATATAACTAAGAGGATGGCAGAGATTACGTTGACGGCGGTGGTTGCGCTCGGAAATGACGACAACGGCAGGTTAAGGTTAGGATTTGATGATTTTAGGGATTTGAGTTTTTTTATAATTTAAGAGAAATTAGTATTTCTTTATGTATATAATAATATTTTTAATATTTAAAAAAATAAATTTAAAATCATCATATTGTGACATGTATCACTTAACGAAAGAAATTAATGCCTTTGACAGTCTGAACATCTAAAATGGTAATGTCTATAGCGTTAAGCACAATGATGAATCAAAAAAATACTTTAAACGCATTCGTGAAAAACGTTATAATTTGAATACTTATTTTATATTTAAGCCTAATTAGTAATTTAACATCTTTCTTATTAGTATTTATTAGCAAATTAGTAATTATTAATTAGATTTTTAATAAAATAAAATCTTAAGATCTCCAATCGAATCAACCCAAATCGAGCATTAATCAAATCAAACTCGAACAACTCACACACGGCTTAACCCATTAAACACCCCTACTCACATCCGAATCAGAGTACATTTAATATGAAAAATAATGTAACAAATACTTTTTTAAAAGAGTAAATTATGCGTTTAGTATATAAACTATCAGTTTTAATCCGTTTTAGTACCTAAACTTTCATTTTTTTTCAAAATCATACCTAAAATTTAGTTTTTGTTTCATTTTATTACCCCTTCAAAATTTAACATTAAGTTTTGAAAAAAAAAACTTTAGGTACTAAAATAGACCAAAATTGATGGTTTATGTAATAAATGCATTAAGTTTTTAACGACGGGTACTAAAATGAAATGAAAACTAAATCTTAAGTTTAGGTCTAATATGAATGTGCAAATGTATGATCCGATTCCGGATGAAGAATCGACAGCATTTCAATTTTTGCATATCATGAATATCGTTATCGTAACAGTTTTTCTGATGTCTAGACGAATATCGATACGATCAAATACTGCAAAGCTCCGATATCCATGTCCTGGAAGCCATTGGTATGCTTGCATATGATCAAGTACCGCAAAGCTCCGATATCCATTATCGATCGAAATTGGATCGTAACAGAAATTCGATCAAATATTGCAGAGCTCTGATGTGTATTAACGATCGAAATTGGATCGGAACAGGATTCCGGTGTATGTAACAATCAATTCATGCAGCAAATTTGTGATAAAAGATGCTAGATAATGGATATCTTATGTTCTAAAGAGAGACAACCAGACTCTGCATAATGCATACACTCTGCAACATTGAATAATTCTAGCAACTACAAGAACATTGTGTTATCGGTTCAGAAATTTTCGGGACTCGAGTTCGTGTAACTTAGAATTACACCATACCTCGGATCCATTTGCAGTTTTAAAGGAACGTATCCGTACCTGACCCGACCTGAGAGTATCTGGGCGAAAAACATTCGATCTTAATGATTGGTGAATACCAAACACACATCACGCAAGGAAGATAACCGTCATCTTCATCTGCTCCCACGAATTCTCATCTGTTAATGGTGAAACACATCACAGACCACCTCCGGGGAACACTCCAGTTCGATGGACCGCAAAAATATGAGAAGACTGCCTCGAGTCAGCTTCGGAACATTTAACCTATCCTTCCAAAAGCCAGTTGAAGCCAGCGCTGTCTGGTAGCAAATATCAAAATCAAGGTTGAAAAACGAAGCTCCTGATGATTTTTCTAACAAGACATATCCGATATCTACATTATTATACACATGCAGGAATCCTCATCATCGTCCGAATCGCTCACATCACTGCAGGCACAGATAGAACATTAGGAGGAGAGCGATACAATCATGAATCGTCGAAAAAAACACAATCAACTAATCGATATTGCTAGTTAAGATTGTAATTCACACGAGTCATCCTTTTCTATTGTAGTTCGACATTGTATCGGGAATGCATGAAACCTAGTTATATCCGCCGAACAATATATGCAAGAATTCTGTAGGATTTGTTCATACTTAATCGGTTTTTTCGGCATACAAAAAGTACTAATTCTTACAAAGATCGAAAATATTACATCAAGAACTATTCAAATCATGTAATTAGAAACGATAGGCCGTTGCACTTAAAGCAAAGCTCTTGATGTTTTAAATTCAAGAATCAAGAACAGAAAACTAATCTGTCAGCAGCTCGATCTGCCTTCTCTAATCTATGGCGGGTAGTGTTATGATGTACTGGGATACCCGGATGACGATGCATTATAAGTAGTATATCACAAGCCAAGAGAAACAGAACATAAAAGCACAACACCCCTCAGAATTCAACATGTTATTTTTCAGATACTGTCTCCACAGCATACACGATGGAAACTTTCGAGGAAATGTGCAAAACAAAAACCGATGCTTCGAGAAAGTATCCGAAAGACATGCTGTGAAGACCCGATCGGCACCATAACATAAAGTTGCAAACTAAAACTTTACCAGTCATAACCAAATTGGAAAAAGAAACAACAAATGAAAATTCGACACAAACTGGTGATCAGTCTAACAAATATCACCTAAGCAAACCCTCGGAAACGAATATCGGTTTAAGAGAATCGGCTTAAGAGAAGCTATCTGCAACATAAGTTATAGTTTTTGTACCATGTATAAGGACAAACTGAAAAGAACATAAAAGAACAAGGGATTTGCAGATACAAACAAATGTATAAGAAATTTCTGGTGTACAAACATACCTCAAATGGTAAAGAAACTATGTTCAGAACACTTCATCAAATACATAATTGGCAATAATTTCAAACAAAAAGATCAATATTATCAAAAGTCAAGAGTCAAAACTCTCAAACATTCAAACAGAAATACACTGCCATGTTGGAAGATAGAGTCCAAAATGAACCAATTACCTTGATTCAAATTCCATGATCTCCACAAGTTTGTTCCCATTTATGTCATTCCATTGGACTTTTCGACTCGACTTATCCGATTTTATCGACATTCCATCTCTTTTAGGTACCAATAAAGCATTTGATTCATTGTCATCTTCTCCATCGGTATGATCTTCAGTTTCTGCAGAATCTATGGCACTTGAGCTGTTGTTTTTATGTCCATTAACATCCTTCACATCATTATGAACAGCATCCATTGACAATTCTACTAAAATTATAAAGCTCCTTAGGTCAAGACTCAACTAGGTGAAAAAGAACAAGACTTCCATTAACTCAAAGCTGAAAAAAAGAAAAGAAAAGAGAGAGATCTGGGTTAGATTGTGATTTTCGAAAAACCCCAGCTACCCAGAAAGCAAAAGGAGATGTCAAACCCTAACCCCAAAATTCAAGAATTTATTTTTATTCTGGGGTTTTCAATAGGTGGAGAGTGGAATCCTTCAATCTGATAAATCCCAATAACAAAGTCAACTCATTGTTTTTTTACAGCATAATGAAAACCATCAAATGCAAATCCAATTTCCAAGAGGGAAACTAGGGGGGAAAGCATGAAACTTGAGGAAGAATTTCAAAACAGGCCA